ATCTATGATTGACTTGTGAATTGCTATTAAACTTGAATGGGTGTGTGAGTTCTGACGAGAGTTAGGCAGACGTTCCGCTGATACCCTAGGATTCGTCCTATGGAGAGATGGGGGCGTCACAGACACATCTTCTTCTTTTAAATTACAAAGAAATTGCCATCAATTATTAAACCTGTTAGGATTCAAGTGCGGAACATACAGCTATTGAAATAACAAATGCACAACAATTTAATGATAAATAAGTCACAAATTTGAAAGATAAATAACACACAATATTTAACATGATTTGGTTTCACCATTGACCCTACATCCACGAGAGAAATCTGTTCTTTATTATGAGAGGAAAATCTTCCACAAGAATAAAACTTGAATTCAAACATAACCCTTGTATATTATCTCTTATCATCCAAGAATTCTCTCTCATCATCCAAGTATAAGTTTACATGTTGCTTTTTGTGTGCTCTTGTGTATTTCTTTATAGTATGTCAACCCATCTATTTATAGATGACATTGGTGGTGTTTGGATAGTGTGTTATTTGAAATATTATTTGAAATATTCAAATTTGACTTTTGTGAATAATGAAACTTCCAAATAATCGTTTGGACAGCGAAATATGACATGAAATAATTGTTTGGACAGCGAAATATGACATGAAATAATTGTTTGGATAACTACAACTTTTATTTATCCTTTTTTAAACAAAGGTAATACAAGAGTCCACCATTATGACATAGATGTTAGACATTGAAGTTCCTCTGACACGATTCTCAGTACACTAAGTCTGGTGATAGACCTTTATTCCATCTACGATGGCAGCAGTTGATAAAAGATGTATGTGATACTTTGACTACTATTGAAGCTCGTCATCTATCGCCTGCGGCGTTCTTGGGCTGCATACATTTGGTCCGCCATTGCATCGCGTGTTGCTTTCCATGCTTCTATCTCTGCCCGAGAAGCGTTTGGAGTCTGCATATGCACCCTTTCGCCGAAGTCGGGTTGCACCTCTAATTGAATATTTTCATCCTCAAACCTTTGGAAATGGGCATCTCCGGGTTGGAACATTCTCAAAAAATTATGTAGCCCACAGCATGCAATTACCACACTAATCTGTGTGGTCATATAAAAATTGGGTACTGGGCCCTTGAGGAATTTGAATCTCGTTTTCAATACTCCAAACGTACGCTCTATAACATTTCTAAGACTCGAATGTCGAGTGTTAAACAACCGCTTGGCTGGATCTCGTTGCTGAACATTCTTGTAGGGTGGTAAGAAACCCGGAGTGTTTCTGTATGCTGCATCTACCAAGTAGTACTTCCCTATAGTTCTCAAAACATGCAAGGGAGCAAGGATGCAGAATTAGTAGCATGACTTTGTGTATTTTACGTGTGTGAAATGCCAAGTAGTAAGTAATTTTGTACCTGCCGGCGGAATTGGAAAATCTGATGGCGGCATCAACGCAGATTCTAACACCCGTGCATCGTGGGCACTGCCTTCCCATTCAGCGTATACGTAGTTGAATCGCATGTCAAAATCGCAGACTGCCAGGACATTTTGTGAGTGTATCCCATGTCGATTGGTATATGCCATCTGCTCTCCATTTGGCGGGCAAGCCGGAATATGTGTGCCATCTAGAGCTCCAACAGCACCCTGTCAAGAATGAATAATCGTCTAGAAATGGTTAAGTCCTCTAGGAGAGCAAATTCGTGAGGCTGTATGATTGTAGACTAAATTATAGGATATTACCTGGAACCATGGATAAAAGTGTCTTGAGTTTGCAATTCTTGGGTGAACATTATCGTGGTCATACGGTCTTATTATTGTGGCGGCAAATCTGCATAGGCCCTTGAGCACTTTGTGTACGTTTCGATTAATTGTCTCCGTTGACTGGTTGAATCGTTCCGCTAGCACGCGCTGAGTATGCTTATGACTTACCATGACTAGAGTCATCGCTAAGGCTTCCTCTATCTCAACCCTTTGTTGATAGGATCGAGATACATAACCGTTATTCTGGAGTATTTCACATAAACGAAGAAAATTGTCAACTGTGATACGCATGTTTTCCATACTTCGTCGGTAATGCCCATTGATCACCTCTTCAACCCACTGCCGTCCGGTTAGAGAGCCGTCGTGGTGAGGTATTTTATCCCTAGCTCGGTCACGATGCAGCATCATTAATTCTGCTGCCAAAACCAACATTGTCTCATCCCTTTCATCTTCTTCAGCTATTTGTTCTCTCCGTCCTCTGGCCGTCCTCCTATTGTTGGCCGCCATAGTACAAATGCCTTTAAAGATAAAGAGAGTAACTATAAACTGCTAAATAAGAATCAATTATTTTTGACAGACAATGAGCAAGGGAAATGATTACCTTCAAGTACTCGGTGGGTGAAAGGTATCTTTATGCTTATGAAAAACACGTTCGTCTGGGACGCCAATAGAAAGAAGCTAGAGTTTTGTGACAACTGCACGACTCCACCCATAAGGAGAACTACATATAAGGCGCAATCAGAATTCGGGCAAAGCTATGCACCGGCAAATTCACATGCAAAAATGAACTCATTTTCAAAAAGGCTACTATCTTTTTCGAAAGGCTACCATCTTTTTGAAAAGCCTGATAATCTATTATCGGCTCCTGTACAATGTGTAGACAAATAATTCGGTGGACACAATTATCGGGTCCGCAGATAAGAATTATCCCAGAGTAATAGCCCGTGAACCCTTTCTATTGCATGGAGTAGAGCAAGCTGTACGATCCTCCGAAGACATACAGCATTGCGCTTAAGGCTTTGCCTCTCACTTCGCACTGTGGTTTAGCAGGTTCCTCCCTGAAGGCTATGTAGACTGCTAGGACAACTTGTCTTGATGCTGTCCAATCTTACTTTTTTGATCTAATGCTCATTCTGTTCAATTCACCTTACCTCACCTAACTTTTTCAGATTACCACACCCCCTTTTGAGTTCTCTTTTTCAACAAATTTCTTCATTCCAGTGATGCCCGGCTGTACAACTTGAGACTTTCCCTGAAGGCTGCATGAGTGGTAGCAGGTACAAAGTACTTAAGCACATTTGTTAAAAGAGAACAAAGTAAATGATTGATTACGGTGTGGATTAGTTTTATTGTAATGTACATTTTACTGCCTTGCGAATAAATTTTAAGTTGCCTCCACAAAAAAAGAAAAAGAGATCAAAATCAAAGATCCTAAGTTGAAATGTGCCATTTGCGAAGTTCTTCTTACTTTATGCTATGGTTGTTCAGCCCACCATTTGTGAGTTAGTTTTTATGCTATGGTTGTTCAAGGACTTGACCTCGGACCTCTGTCAATTCTTGCACGTTTCTTATGAGCATAGTCCAGCCTTGCTGAACGGTGTTCTGCACTTTTGCAGGTTTCTTGTGAGCATAGTTCAGTCTTGCTCAATTGAAAAACTACCGTGTTTCGATGTCGAAGTTCCCCAAAACTACTTCAGTTCTTGGAGAGGAAGGTACAACGAGTATCGAAAGGAGATGAATGTGGCACTGCAAAAGGATGATGAATCTAGGAATGATGCTGCTGATGACGTAATCAAGAAATACAAGCGGGTCAGTTTTCATCTTTGTAGTTTATTTACATTTGTGGAAAAGAGAAAAATTACTTGGTTGAAAGAACTATGCGATTGCAGTTACTGTACGCAGCAGCAGAGCTTGAAGAAAGTAAGAAGGATGTGCAGGAGATCCATAAGGAGGCACTTGCATTATATCAAGTAACCTATGACTATGCCATAAGCACAAAAGACGCAGGAAAATGTGGGTTTGCCTGGAAAGCAGCAGGTTCTGCTCTCTTGAACTATTTTGCTACTAGCAGAAGCGAAAGACTCGTACCAGTTTCACCGTCTGCTCTGCGAGAACTGTTTTCTTAGCCTCTCTTGGTCTTTTAAGCACTGACCCAACTAGGAGTGTAGTAAAATGTTAAAGAGACCTACTGGTATCATGCCCCGAGTACATCTCTAAACAGCTCATCCCTGAGCAAAGTATTGCAAGGAGCCTTCAGAAGTTCGTATGTATTTTTGTTGTGGCCTCATCTTCCCTAAGCAACTAGTTGTTTGTTGTTGTGTGAGTGTAAATTTCTGAGCTCCTATAGCCTTGTTGGTAAATATCTGTGGGGAATGATTGAAACAAAATGTGGTTACCGTCCTTTTAACTAAGGCCTGGCCATCTACCTATGTAAGGCCTGTGTTCCAACTCAACTAAGGCCTGTGTTCCAACTCAACAAGTCAGTTCGGCTTGACACCTTTTTGTGCTTTTACAAGAATCTAAAAATCAAGAGGACAAAGGCTCCATAAAGTAGTGTACAACTAATTTTTAGTTTCTCATTTGTGTATTTCACCCAACAATAAGTATCCTTATAAACCTGCTGGAGTAAATCATCCAAGGCAAAATTGCTGGAAAAGCCATATACGAAGGCTGCAACTTCCTGTCCGCAACAAATAACTTAAGTGAGCTATGAAAGTTAAGCCAACAATGAGAGCTAAAAAAATGAGAGCCCTGAAAGTAACAACAAAAAAATATGAGAGCTAAAAAATTCTGCAAAACTGAGCTATGAAAGCTACAGCCAGCAAACAAATGTCTACAATTATTCCTGTCCGCAACTCCAAGAATGCATATACGATCGCTATGACAATTCAGGCCAACAATCAATTTTTCATATGTTCACCAACCTCATATGGTAAATAGCCATTATGCAATATAAGTAACAATTAAGAACTAGCAACAAAATCTCACACACCAAAAATGAAAAAAACCAAATTCGAGTACGTTTCATTTTACACATACAGTACAACGATAGATTTGTAAACAGGAAAACAACTCAAGCTTATAGTTCTTAGCGGGTACAGGCAAGTCCCGAAGGCTGGAAAAAAAAATGGACTCCACTAAACTGGAAAAAAGGGAGCAACTCCACACGCATCACTCCAAACTCTTATTCAAACCACAGCCAACTAAGACCTGGGATATATTTATCCCCCTATAACACAACCTTTGCCGGTGTGAGATAGCAGAAACGGATTTGAGACGGCAACTATTCTGTTGTGGTGGAATAGGCTACTTCAAATTATGCTTCACCTTTCTTCCTCATATGCCCTGCGACATATGCATATCTTCCAGCAGCGTCATAGCGCACGAAGATAATCCGTTGGCCTAAATTTTCATCTTCGGCGAGATACGAGTCTATTTCTACCTTCCAATCAACGGGGATATCCATGGCTGAGACGATGTCTTGACAATGTTTGACTTTGTACGTCTCATCTCTGTCTATACGATCCTTTCGATCAGTTCTCGCCACGTTTGTGAAGTTGCCGATCTTGCTTAAGGCGTCTTCAAGTCTGTCCGCAGATGATCGGGTAGATTTTGTGCCTCTGGAACCCTCTCGCTCGCCGGAGTTACCCAAACTGCTTGCTGGTCGCTTCCCACTACTGCCTCCCGGAATAGGGGACACGTAGTACACGTCCTCCCCTTCCCAAGGGGAGGTGGCCGAAGGCGGTTGCGACGACACTGAGGCTTTGGCCTTGCCTTTCCGACTCCTTCTAGAGGTGGTTTGCTCGTTTCCGAGTTGCTCAAGGGAAATTTCTGGCTGGCTAGCAGATTGTGCTCGTGTCCCTGTAGTCGTTTCCCCAATCATGATAGGAGTGAATCGCTCGTATAAGCCGCAACTAAAGGGCTTAGAAAAGTCCTTATACTCGCTGTTGGACTGTTGGTTAAAAGACACAAGGGATAAGTGATTTGTCACGTTTCTAGCTTCTATATATGCATAAGCAAACTGGTCAGATTCGACTCACAATAAATGAAAAAACTAACCGAAATGAGATCGGCCCAATGGTCCTTGTCAGCAGTGAAATGCTGGGTGTCCTCTTCCCATCCGATGCCAGTTGCAGCCTTGTTGCTGAGCCCCCGAAGCTGGCAAAAAAGTTGCCATTTCTTCTTGAACCGGTAGAATCTAGATTGGCACTGCGCAGCACTGACTTCATCTCCATGGTTTTCACGCAAATGCTCGGCTATCTGACCATAATTCCATTCAAGTGATTTACGCTTGTCCCATTTTTTTGACAGCTTGAAGGCGATGTACGCATCAATGAAGTGCTCATCCATTTCAGGAGTCCACTCAAACTTACCTCCCATCGCCTATTGTAAAATTGCAAGTGCAAGTTAGTAGGCATGCAAATATACATGATAGTAAATATTTTGAGGTGAGGCAAATGTATACCATACGGCTTGCTTCAAAGTTACTGATGCACTCTTCAATATCGTTGGAGTCAGTGGATGATTGGACTGTGCAATTGGAGGTGCAGCTGATGGGAGGAGCTAAAGACAGAAAACATGCAGAAAACTGACGTGAGTCACATAATCACATAATGCAGTAGTGTATTCAGGGCCAGGAAAAACTTAAGTATGCCTTACACTGACTATTACACTGCTGCTGTGAGTTGAGGGGCATCTCTATCAGTCTCCGTCATGGCCTTAGTTAAAACGTAGGGAAAAATTTTGGAAGCCAACTGTCAAATGAAACGTTTAAACTTGTTCTGGGTTAATGCACGCTGATTTGTTAACTCTACAAGTACAACAAATAACCGGAATATAAGAACTGCCATGTGGAGCATAACTGCCAGCATAACAACGCAGATTTTTTCCCCTAACTCATACAAGTCTCTGGACAAGTACTAAAGTGGAAACATATTCGGCTACAAACGAATTTGTACATACAAACAAATTTCATGAGACAGGAATAGTTGAAGTATCTCCATAATTCGAAAATGTGTCGAATAAGCACAGATATTTAGCGCATATATAGCCCCAAAATTTTCAAGTTGGCCAAAACAAGCTGCACAACAAGGTCACATTCAAACAAGAGAGCAAATCCCTAAAAATTGGTCCTACGGAAATTCATGGCAACTGGGAAGATGTTTCTCAAATTAATTGTGACAACGGTGGCCATTTTCGTATTTCCCCTAAAATCGAAGGCCGGCCACACAGAAACCTCTCTCCAATTTCGAGTCAAAATTGGTGGTTTTAAGCACAAACAGGTATAAACGGAAATCAGGTGTAGCTTCAGGATTTCAAGAGAATAACGAGAAAGAAAGAACTAAGCCATATAGACATATGGTTGTCCACTTCAAGCAGTCAAAAAGCTGGGTTTAATTTGTTCACATAAATTTCAACCCTTTTGATGGTACCTGACACAAGCTCCCGGATCGGATCGGGTTTGCACTTCCAAGATGGGGGTGGAACTGCGCCGCTACTAATTGTCGGAAGAGCCTTAGCTGCTATGTGGCGGGTTAAAGGATAAAAGGAAATCAGGTGGTTAAGGAGCTGCTGCAGTTGTGCTTGAGGAAGTGGGAATAATTTGAGATGAGATCGGCTTCAGATCGCACAGTGCTCTTTGAGTAAATGTTCAGCAGCGGAACAAGAGACCGACAGTAAATGGCGTAGATGGGTAAAGTAATGGAGGACCCCAACGGCTAAAAAATCTGATTCTGAAACATGGGTGCCACGCGTCGTAGTGCATGGTGACCCTGCACATGAAAGGACCCAGCCCTTGCTGACAAGGCTAACTACAAAATAAAATGTGGAATGCTGAATTGTGGAAAATATTCCGTCAGTCCAAACACCAACTCCACAAAATATTTCATGTCCACACAGATAATTCAGTCCAAACATGGCCATTATTTGGTCAAACAATCACATAACAATAAAAAATCAATTCTAATTCCTAGACTTGCACATAATAGTAAATAACTTCTAATTCTAAACAAAATAGAAAATTCTTTGACTACTATTTCAAGTAACTAAAACTAATTTGAAAACTAATTACTTCCACACAAAACAAGAAACCCGTTTAAAAGAAATTAAATCAATTTCCTAACAAATCTCTATCTTGAAAAAATTTCATTTAACAACTATTTACTTTCAACTACTAAATAATATGGTACTGAACTACACATTCGAATCAATACAGTTCTGATGCCAAATTGATTCAATCCAGAAATGAATATGTGTAGTTACTCTGAATCTAATCTCCTGTTGACTCGCGAGAAAGTACTTCAATACATCGTCTCCCTTTGTAGGATTTTTTTTTCACCACCACTTGCAACTTGGGACCCCCTTCTGTGAAATCTAACCCTAATCATTGAGGCAACCAAGTAGTAAAATCACCATAATTCTTCTCATCCTTAGAACTATCTCACCATGTGTGATTTTCAAAATTTCACATAAAACGAAAAATTCGTAACTGTCAGAGTCTTCTGATGCATGGAAATCAGATCTCTTTATTTTTTTAGGACACACGTCACACCACCAAAGAACATAACGAAAATCTAAAATTCAGGGAAATGAAGTATCAACAATTGGAGGTGTGAGAAAGTTTCCACCGATTCACATCCAAAATCAATATTGGACTCCACCTTTTTCTTGACTCTTGAATCACCTGTCTAGATTCTCCATCAAATATCTCCATACTTTTCGACTTTCCATCTTTCACCTTCAATGTTTCTTACCAAACTCTTGAAACAAGGATGCCTCCAATTAAATTATTCAATTGGTAACAATCACTAATCCACTTGATCTCAATAGTTAATTAGGATCCAACTTTAAACAACCAAATTCTTGATCCAACCATTCAGTTTGTTGGGATCCAAGTGCTTGTGAACAGTCCAGTCTCGCAACCAAACTCTAATACCACTTGTTAGGATCCAAGTGCAGAACACACAATTATTGAGATATCAAGTGTACAACAATTTAATGATAATAAGCCACAAGTATGAAAGATAAATGACACACAAGTTTTACCCAAAGACTTTTCCCTTCAAAATATTTTTGGCAACCAGATGATCCATCAAAAATTTTGGATTATTATGAATTAATTCTCACTGATTCTCAATCTGTTGAGATTTTTCCTATTCCAGATAAAAAGAATCCAGATATAGTTAGCCATTCAAAATGTATTATAAAGAAAGTTTGTTCTCCTAATAAATGGACTTCTCTTTATTCAAGAAAAATCCTTCTCAGTCAGATTCATTCCAGATGGATTCACTTATCAAGATTACAAAATGGCATGGTATCGTGTTTTTTTGTATAGGCCATTCAATCATTCATGGTTCTTTACATTCAAAGAAAATTGTAGCAGAGAATTCCCAATTTGGTTCAATCATTGGTGGCAATGGTTTGGTCCTCAAAAAGAAATTCTACCTCCAAATTCTGATGGGATTCCAAACATATCTCAAAAAAGCAAAGGGAGAAGAATATATAAGACCAATATTATTTCACATGGAATTCAAAGTACCATGAATTTTTTGCTGGAATTTCAAAGTTCATCAAGAACTAGAAAAACCACTTCCAATGTCGTTAGTCAGAGAATTCAAGATCAAATAGTGGATAGGATTCAATCAAGAGTTCTGTGATCAAAAGAATGTTTTAAGATTCTTAGAAACAGGAAAAAATCTTATATGGATAAATCCAAATCAGCAAACTACAAGAGGAGTTAATATTCATGCTTTGGAGGCTATTCGTGAGTTTTTTGGATCCTATCAAGCAATGTCGGGGCAGAGGATCAATGTGGCTAAGAGTTCATACTTGTGTTCTAACAGAGCACAACTCCACAGAAGAAGGAAAAAGAAAAATCAAGCATCCCAACATCAGAAACAATTGCAAATGATTTCTTAATGAAAAAAATGATGCAAAATCCGGAAATGCTCAAAGAATATTTGAATTATTTGCAAAATCAAGACAAAAACGAAGAAGACAAAAAAATGAGTCAGCGGGGTCATCATCGGAATCTATTTTTGATCCTTTCGGTGGTTCTTGTGCTCAAGACCCGACAGACTTTTGATAAAAGTTGTCAGCCAATTTCAAGATAAGGATAAGAAATCTCAAAAGCAACCAATCAGAAGAAGATAAGGTGTCGACAATATAGGGTGTCGACAAATGAAATTCAAATGAAAGAGTCGGCAATCAAATGAAGTTGAAATTCAAAGATAGAAGTCTCTATAAATAAGATTCAAAACAGAGGAAGAGGCATTGAGTTTTTATAGCTATCCTAAGAATTTCTCTGTAAATCTCTTCTTTCTCAGTTTTTGTATTTCTTTGTACGCACTTTTATTCAACGAGTTCAATAAAAATTCAAAGTTTGATTTGGCATCAAGAAGCTTCCGCATATCAAAGATCACTCTAATCTTCTGTAAGTTTTATATGCTCATATTATATACCTGGGTTGGTTTGGTATCAGAGCCTAACCATAGTTATTAATTGTTTCGAAATATATCCTATTTTAATTTATAATTCATGCATTTATGTTTAAATATCTCATTTAAGATTTTATCTTAGCATTGGTAAGACTTTGAAGCTTTGTAAGACGGTTGGTAAGTTCGAGAAAGGATATTCCACGTTTAGGCTCGGTTGTTCCTGATAAGATAAAAAAATAAACAAGATATTAAACATGGCTGTATTTCTTAGACAATTAAAATTAGGATCTAGTTCAAAACAAGCTAATATAGTACAAAGTCATGAATATCATATGCCTGTAAATAATTCAGATTGGACTATTCCATAAGAGAAAATAGAATATATTTATAGAATAGGTCCATTAGATTTCAAAACAGCCTTATCAGTTAAAACTCATGAAGAGACCATTTCAATTCAAGAAGAATATCAAACCATTCCATTAATAAACCATAATACAATTCAAAAGTATCTTAGTAAAGGATATAGATATATTCATATAGGATTAATTCAAGTTGCAATAAAATCATTATTCCATTTAGGAGTAGATGCTCCTATATACTTAGCTTTAAAAGATACTAGACTCAAAAGGTATAAAACTTCACTTTTATCTATGATTCAAACAAATGTATGTAATGGACCAATTTATTTTAATTGTGCTCCAAATTTTTCTGTAGATTTAACAGATCCCCATGTTTTGAATTCAGTTATATTAGATATTCATTTAAAAGGTGATGAATTTGAAAAACATACAAAGAATTTTGCTGTAATTTATAGAATGTATTACAGACCTTTGTCTTCACAATTAAATCCAAAATTTATTATGACTCCAACTTTAAAAGAGGAAACAACACTATTACAAGTTGATGCAGATAGACCTACTACTTATACTCCAAAAAAATTAAAATGGAATGAAATTACTATACCTAGTGAATTTATAATTCATAATCCACAAGTACCAAGAAATATAGAACAAACAAATCCAGAAGATATTACAGAAGAACCTGATGGAAAAGTTTTACTAAGATTTTCTTCATTTAGAGAAAGACCCTCAACTTCAGGTCATTCATGGATACCAGCTAGGAGATCTAGTTATGAATCCATCGATACAAATTTTATTCCAGAAAGTTCTTCAACATTCAAGTTTAAAACTCATGTCCTTGAAGTAGTTAATCAAAATCAATCAGAATATTCTCCAACACATTCTCAAATGAAAGGAGAAATAAATGTAATACTTAAAGAATATAAAATAAATCATAAATATTTACAAGAAGATTTTGATGATGAAGAAAAAACAAAAAAAAGAATTTGGTTTTATCAATTATATTTTGAATGTAAAGAAAAATTAATATTAAAATGAAAAAATGAACTAGAGATTAGAAAGTTTGATTTTCCTTTCTTTACTTGGTTATCATTCTATATTTCAAAAATAGGAATAAATGATGTATATAATACTCCACAAATAAATGTTCAGACTAATTTATATAAAAAATGAAAATTAAAAGACGATCAAGTAATAACGTCAATACATCCTCCATTACAAGAAGTAAAAATTAATATAGGACAAGGAGATATAATTGCATCTCCTTTCAAAAAAGGTAGAGAAGCTGAAGCAAGTAGTAGTAGTAATAATGTGAATTTAGATGATATCAAAAAATTATATCAGCAAAATAATTACACAAATCAAATTCTTCATACTATATCACAACATATAGAAGTAATAAGTACTAAGATAGATAGTATTCAAAAACTAGTTAAAAATTTTCCTAATGATATTTCAGCACCTCATTTTCAACCTAGAAGTTTAACTAGAGAAAGATAACAAGAATTAATTCAAAGTGTTAATACTCAAAGAATAAATAATACAGATAATATATTGAATAGAATATCTCAAACATTGCAAAGTTTAACAACAGAAGCTCAAACTCAAACTTCTAGAATAAGTACATTAGATAATGTAATAAATAAAGATATATCATGAGGAGAATCAAGTTATTCAGAAAGTGATGAAGATATAAT